GAACATGTTCATGCAGGCGCACGGAACTTACCGTTGCATTTGATATTTTACTATTAAATATAGCATTTTTATATAGAATTTTATAACAAATTCTTTATTTGTAATGAAAAAACATAATGTACACACTGCATATCATCGACGCATGCAGCGTAGCGATTTGTCTCGCGAATGACTGTGACGCCACGCATTTTTCCGACTTTAAACTCAATTTTTGATGTGTTTCCCAACATGTGACGTAATTTTAATTAGCACCATTAGATTTCTCGTTTCAAAAACTATAAGAAACGATGTTAATTTTCCATGACTTGTTTCGCGAATGACTGCGACGCGTCATGTGTGAATAATAAGAAAATATATTTATTCCTTTATTAATAAAAAATCTAATGTATAAAACAAAAAAATCAAGACAATTTCATATTATTATTTCATTTCGTGATAATAACATTGAGATCCCTGCTTTCCTTCTTCTAATTTTCTTTTTTCTTCGTATGCCACAATCCAAGAAATAGATTCTTAGATCTTATTTTTATTTCATCAACTTCTGTTCTGACCGCTTATATACATTTACAACACCAAAGATTTACATCAAAATTTATTACATTAATAATAATTCCAAAAATTATAATAATTTAGACAAGACACAACATTAAAAATAAAGTCATAGCCCGTGCCCTTTCCGCACAGCACAGAAAGTTCAAAAAGAATTCATTCGTATATTCAGTCATATGTCATCAATTTTAAGAACTTCTAGAAAAAGAATTCTTTTTGCATCTGAAAATTAATTCAGAAGTAATGGCATACTAAATTCTTTTTAAACTCTCTGTGCTATCTTGAAGATTCGAATCAATATATGTAACACCCATAAAATAAATGCTAACCCACATTTATACGAGCTCTATATGTTTTCTAATCTGAGATTAGCGGTATTGTAATTTTATTCGTGACATTTTTAAGTAATATATATATATATTCTATAGTTAATTCTGCTTGCTGCTTTTGTGACCCGTGGCAAACATAAACCATATACTATTTTACTGTCGAGACAGCTGTTATCCTAAATCGAAAAAAAATCAAAGTTTACTTGATTAAGCATTCGCTTAGACAGCCATTTGACATTTTTCCGGCAATTAAGAATCCTGTATTTACATTGTGGTTTACTGCTAGCCTTTCTTAAATTAGTAATCACCATTTAACAACCATTTAAAACTCGCGCCACTGATGCATTTGCTTGCGGATAGACAGCTTTTAAGGCTGGCTGCACATCAGCACGATGTTCGGCGCGCGCGAGAAGCCTTGTGACTTTCATCGCGTTTTTTTATCGTCTCTGTAGATATATCTCCTGCTCCTGGTCGTATCAACTCCTACCACGGATCGAGTTGGGGTCATTATAATCGTTTAAGAAGAAAAATGCAACAACGATAAAATTGTTTTAGCTGCAGTCGTTCTGAGTCGTTTTATATGATTTTTCTTTTTCCCCCACTCTTTCTCAATCTTCGCAACTTGTTTTCGCCTTCCTCCGTCTGTTATATGATAAAGAAACGATCGTCGAGAAGCGCGGATCGTCTTACATCAGTCGATCAACGCAGTGCGCTAATAGACGTTATTTCTTGTGGATTAGCAACAGAACATTAGCACGTATCTCCAAGATGTTTGCAAAAGTCTCTTGGATTGCTGTGACAATAATTATAGTATTTTGTGTATATAATTCCGGTAAGTTATCAATGTTTCTTTTACAAAAAAAATAGTGCAGCATGAGCACCTATTAACTATAGTTAAACTGTTTTTGTCAAATTTACTCAAAATTTCTTAAAATTTATCAAAAATTAAAATATATTTTTTAAATATATATTATAATATGTTATAATATTTTAAATATCGAATTCTGTGGAATTTCACACTCACGAGAGCTCTATGTGTGGCAAGCTCCATACTTTTCACAAAGAAGTCTGTCTCTGGTCATGGTCACCTCTGAACGAGTTGTAATTTAAATTCATGAGAAACCACCGATTAAAGTTATATTTTTAACCGTGACGCTGCGAAACAACCATACCTGTTTCGATACAATACATAAAATGTTGCGAGATATATGTATATAAGCGGTATTACACACTCTGAAAATGTCGGTTCTATACATTGTATAGAGATGCGTGTCAAAAAATTTTATGTTTTTATTGTAATTATATTGCAAGTGCATTGTTTTATATCACGTTTTAAATGCTGATATTCTCACTTCTTACAAATTCTTAACGTGAAGCTACATCATTTCAAATCAGCAAGAAATTTAATTATCTTTTATTGCCATGTTTACTATCATCGTTTATTAATATTAATTATTGGGTCATCTGGACAGTTCTGCGGTTTTCTTACATCTGCGCGGCTACTAATTTGAATTTTGCGGTAATACTGAATAAGGAAGCCTAAACTTCAGATTGATAAGAAAGAGCAGTTTTTTGTTTAAACAGTGTTCCATTCATGGCATATATTCGATTCTATTATGTACTAAAAATGGAGAATCAGAAACATTTTTGCAATATTATACTTTTCAGAAAGAGCAAGAACGCATGCGAGACAGCATGTAAAATTGTAAAGTCTACGGACAAGGTATTGTTTTTGGTGATATCGGAGATAGTTTGTGAAATTTTAACAAGGTGATTTCACTCTCAAAGATGAAGCGCACTGTGGTTGATGTTCTATACTGAAGCAAGCATCGCTAAAAATCCTCGTCCTTATACAGTACAATTAAAAACTGGCAGAGAAATTATAAATTGCAAAAAGTACCGTACATGACCACTTAAACTTGTCCCCGTGAAAACCGCAGAACTTTCCGCAGAACTTGAACCTAACAGATTTACATATATGTATATACTTATATTATTCAGAGTTGGGAACTCTCTAACGCGTTACTTGTAACGCCAATACCGTTTACGTTTTTTTTTTCAGTAACAATCTTCCTTTTTTTCTATCTATAACGAAATAACGATTACGTTTTTACAATAACAGTGCCAAATTTATTATTACTTTTATCGTTACTTTATATATATATATATATACTTTTATTTTCTTACTTTATAATGTATTTTAATTTTATTTATTTATTGAAAAAATTTTATACTTTTAGGCACATTCCTATAATCATTACCAATATTGAAAATCTATAATATAATATACATATAATATATATATTACAATATATTATATATAACAATATGTATATTAGAGAAAAATCACCGATATTGACATAGTTTCTTAAAGGAATTTATTCCCTTATTTCTCTAAACTATTTTATTAACATTGATAAAAATATGATCTGTTTAGATAATTAAAGAGGTAAAAATTCATAATTTATATAATTATGACATGTTTTCATATAAACTCGACAGAACAAATTCTAGAAACACAAAAATAACACTCTTATTTTGTAAATTGTATAGTTCCAATAATATTGGATATATTATTGTTAATATTAGATTGTTTTGTATGTTTACAGATTTCTAAAATTGATTAATTTATAATTTTTTTATATTTCTCTCTCTTATTTTTGCCGGTTTTGGTTATTTTGTCACATTTTGTAAATTTTTGTTTATTTCTTACAAAAATGTTAAATATTGCAAAATTTCAAGCAATATTATTAAACAAATTGTTATTATCTGATAGAAGACACTTTCTAGTAATGATGAAAAAATGTATAAATGTTATCATTTAATATTATTTATTTTCAATTTTTAGTTACAATAATGTTCAAAATGTTTCTTCTTTTCATTCAATACACGCGTGAATATTACTTTTTCATTAACATTTTGAGTTGTATTTCAGTAACAACGGGTTTGCGGAACATACTCGTACGTTTTTATGAACTTTTTTTCATTAAATTAATAGCCGATTAAAGTTAATCGGAGTAAGTCCAAGTAATCTTTATACTTTTTGTTTGATAAGAATAGAAAGATAAAATAAGAATAGATAGTTACTAAACAGTTACTAACTAGATGATTCTTTTCTAGTTCATCGATGTATTCTATTTTTGCTGAATTATTTTGCTTATAATAAGATATTAATTAAAACGTTATATAATCAATATTTTAATGTGTTACTAACATCTTACTCTTTTTTATTATAGCTCAAATCTTATCGGAGGTCTGTTTAGGCTGTTTATGCGAAGTCAGTACAGGATGTAACGTCACTATCGGATGTTCTAAATGGAGGGGTGTATGTGGACCTTTCGATATAACACGAGACTATTGGATTGATGCTGGTAGACCAACTCTAAACAATGAGCCATACAGCAACATGAATGGCAAGAGTTACTTTCTCTCATGCAAAAATAATTAGGACATACAAAGAAATGGAAATAATTTTTATTTTTTCATTCTTTATAACCATACACTTTCAGATTTTTTGTGATAAGAATGAATAAACATAACATATCATACTTCAAAGAGAAAAAAAAGAGATCATTTTTAGATAAATATAAAAAATACAATTAGAAATATATCCAAATGTTATTGTTAGATAAATAATCATGCATTAATTTACATTAAAAGTATTTTATTATTTAATTAAAAAATGGAACAATGCTGTATAGCTTAATCACATATTCAAGAATTAATTAGTTATAAAAAAAAATACAAATTCTAAAGCAAGAACATTTCTGCAAAGATATTTAAATATCTAATTAAATTACTTTTTCTTATATGTACTTATCTTATTTAAATTTGAAAAAAAGGATATAAAATTTTGTTCCAGTTTCCGTTCAGAATATTTCAAATTCAAATGTTAGTTATATGATGTTCTTCACTCATTAATTAATTTTTTTCTTTTAATTTAGTTTCTAAAAAGACATAAAAAGTACAAAACTTCATACGTGTAGGATTTTACATGTGTGTCTAATTAATAAGACAAATAAGTGAACAGCATCTTTATCTCGAATACGTCGGAAATGGCTATTCACATTCATGATGCAAAAAAAACTCAAATTTTATTCCACGATGTAATATTTTTACGTGAATTTATATATAATACATTTTCCAGTTCATGCAAACTGCGTGCCGACTATTTTTCAAAACGCTGTTTCAAACTGAAGCTAGAATCGTAATATCACAAGTTTTTACAAGCGATTTAATTGTAAAGAATTTATTTTTCATCAGTTCACTTTGATCGATAACAGATAACAGACACTCTTTACTCGTTTGTGAGAGGTACGTTACTTTCATGTTGGTCCATTTCTACTTATTATTGTTGTTTATTCACGGCCTGAAAAATTACATTCTCTCACTATTTACTGGTTAATACGATAAATGTATCACCACATGCTTCGGTGATCAGATTGATAAGACGTTTATCACGGAGTCTAAAGAGATCGAGATTCGAATTTTGGGTAGGATAATACTTTTTGCAATAAATTTTCTACAAGTATTTAAAAATGCTTATTAGCAACAATATAATTAAATTGCTTGTCAGTTTAATTAGTGCGGTTTGCATGAATTAGAAAAGTAGTATATTAATGTACGCAAAAATATTGTTAGCCGCCAAGATACGCTTTAAGTAATAAAGGTGCTCTTCACTTATTTGTACCACTGTTTCATCGGTCCATTTCTATTTATTATTATTTAATAAATAATGTCAATTTTAACTGTAATTTGATTTTTTGTTATTTATTTTTAGTGCACAATATGTAGTTTTTTATATATGTCAATAATTAGCAATAAATCAACCATTTAGTAGAATTGTTCATATGTAAATATGTATTTACATTTATATATATTTTAATGACTAATAAGTGTAAATTTTATAATTTAATTAATATATTACTTTTATAATAATAAAATTCTATAAAAATCGCTTCTTTTTTACAGCTTATGACAGATGTGCCAACGATCCCTACTGTGCTGCAAATGTAGTACAAGCCTTTATGGCCAAATTTGGTCGTGTAAGTAAATTTTATCATATTCAGATTTCTTCGGCTTATGTCTTCAGTGTAACGTCTAATGTACATTAATTAATAGGACTGCACTGGAGATGGAGTAGTCGACTGTGAGGATTATCTGCGTATACATCGACTTGGCGCAAACGGCTGCAGCGGTACACTAAACATTAACTACGAAAATAGATTCAAGTTGTGTTTACAAACCTTCAAAATGTTTGATACTACGTAATAACAGACCATTAATTATTTATCATAATATAAATATGTAGATATATCCATAAAAACCTAGCTTGTAATTTTATCATATACATATATTTGATACAGTCGATCATTTTTAGCAATTTAAAGATAATTTTGTATATTAAATCTAGTATAATGTTATTATTATAGTAGTATACTATAATAGGATTTGATTTGCAATGAATATTTCAACGAGAAACGTGTGTGTCATTTAATATTTTGTGTTCGCACGACACATTGTATTAACTTATCTAAATATTCATGCTGTATGACCGTGTACACGGTATAATTTAATTTTGAACGGGAGAGAAATCGATGGTTCCTCTTTTTTTCCGTTGCACGGCTAGGATAAAAAATCGTAATTGCTTGCTGTTAATTATTACAAACTTCTGATACACATTACGGTAATCTAACAGATAATTTAATACGCG